AACACTGGCCAGTATTCAGAGGTTGAAAGAGATGAGCTAACTGGAAAACAAAATACATTGTAAAAGCAGGACAAGGCATACAACTAACTAAGTAATCCTTGTATTTGATAAAAAATCCCAGAGCCTTCAAAAGTATCAGTCCTGGCACTCCTTTGAAAGCACCGACTCTGACGTGCTGCATCACAGTCTGTGCTCCAAAGCCACAGAACAGAGGCTTCCAAATCATACTTCACACCTAGAGATATAACATCATACTGTGCTAAAGCTCAATCTTTGTCAAAACAACAAAGGCAAGTATTAAGATGATGCATTGCGTGGCAGCTGTCTAATCTTCAATTCACAGCTTCAGCCTCAGTTTGCCTTATAAAAGCACAAATAAATAAGTAAATAAAAGGCCAGAACGGAAGGGGAGAAGGAGGATTTTAAAAATGAAAGCCTTCTGAGCTGACTAAATGAATACTATATTTACATGACCTCTTCTTGACGTCTGAGAGAACAGTAATAGGGATCAAAACCTGCCTGTCTTACAGCTCCTCAGTGTCAGTGACATCAATGAATAAGTACTCGAATAACTTTACAGCACCATAGAAATGAGAGAAGTAGAAGCCTGTAAATCACTTAATGCATCAACTAGCCAACGTCAGGCTATTCCCTACCGTATCTCTTGTCCGGGCTCAACTGAAACTTAGAAAGCAAGAACACTTCTATGTTATTACAATTTCTTCAACACTTTCAATTTCTATCAGTACCTGCAACAACAAATTGATGTTGTATTCCACTTAATTTATAAGTCAACTCTACAAACGAAAGAGCATTAAGTTTATGTAATGCAATTTCATTTGAAGATATATTTGATAATCAATTTAACCTGCTCTTTCAAACACTAAATGGCTGATTTGTATTTATATCTTTTCCTTTTTACTCCAGAGGCTATTTGACCACAGCAGGACAGGTTCACAATGGCACTTGTTAAAAAACAACTATAATTCCAGCACAAACGTCAGTCTTAGGGAAGAAAAATTGACTTGGGGCATGAAATGAGCACACCACACCTGCCTGAAACTGCCTCCAGCATGACAGTATCAATGGATTCATAAAAAGATGTGGGAATTTTTAGAAAAGCTTCTGTGATCTAATTTTACGTCTAAGCAAGGGGATGCTCTCCTCAGATCAAACACTAACTATTTCGCCACAGAGCCCAAGCGGTGACCAAAGCCTTGGAGCCTTACGAAAGGCAGGGGGCTGCAAAGATTTACAAAACAGAAACACAACAGCCTCCTCTGGTAAAAAATAACAAACCAAAGTTCTCAAGATGAGAGAGAAAAATCTTTCACAAAGAGCAGAAAATCTGTCCAAATCTTAACACCTGCACAACTATTAAGCAAAACAAAATAAATTTTATTTTCCTGTCTCAATGTTTACCTCTGCTCAGAAAGAAGAAAATAGTATGAGGTAAATTCAAGCATTGCTAACTGGATCTTAACATTACAGATATAAAACATACCAATTTTTGGATGAGATGTTGGCAGGGCAGCTTCAGGAAAAGGTGAGATCTGACAGTTGTCCTGGTAACTTGGATAGTGAGGTTCTGGGTGACTGACTCGGCAAGGCTGCTGGACACTGGTATCCTGAACTGCAGCAGAAAAATAGCATTATAAACCATCATACATCACAGCTTTCAGACATTTGTTAGGCTTCTTTCATCCATATTTGTTACGCTTCATATGAGTTCTTTAACTCTGTGATAATTCCAGGGGTCACAAATGAGAAACAATGGTGTGATTTTACACAGTCAACAAGCAAGGTTGCATGATGATTTCATCTATCTTTATTTTCACTTTTAAAGGCTTCTGCAAAGATTACAGCCTGCTTCCCTTTCCCAAGCCTATATATTTACATTGACGACTCCAAATTATGGTTCTCAGGGGAAGGGTTACTTCCTTCAGCTGCTGATCAGCCTTTCCAGCAGAGCTCACAACCCTGCCTCATCTGCCAGACAAGAGGCTGATGTGATCTTCAGACTGCCGAAGTCGAAATAAGCTGGACGAACCACGACCCGAAGAAGCAGTGATCTCAGCTGGTGCTGCTGAGCAGCTGTGGGAAGGCCGGGAACTGCTGTATCAAGTACCACTAAAAGTAATATATGAATTAAACTGAAAGAACAGAAAAGGAGCATTTATGTTCTGTTTGATTTACTTTGGGCATTTGACAGCATTTTTCACATAGTTTCAATGCTCAACTAGTTTTTATCTTTCTGGTAATATTTTAGGACCAAAAAGGAGTGAAAAAAATGACAGAAATGACCATAAAGCCACAGAAATCAGCACAGGTGTGCATTAGCAGCTGCAGCATCTGGAGAAACTTTTAACTTCTTTTGTGAAACTGGTAAGATGTCAAGCTGCTGAAATCATTTCAAAGAAAGGAGAGCGGGTTACATATAGCCTCTGTGTAAGTTCTTGAGAAACAAATCCTTCCAGCAGCATTCCAAATATTTCTTTCTTCAGCAATGGGTGTCAAAAGCTTCTTTTGTATTTCTCACAGGTGTGAAGCAGACACAAGCCCAAACACTTACCAGTGGCCCCAGTGAAAACATCACCCTGGGATGGACTTTCCGAGATAATTGCTGTGGCTTCCACTGTCGATGTACGGTCAAAGGTCAGAGCACCGGAGGTAGTGATCTGTCCAGAAGGAGTCACGGTGACTGGAAATAGTAGAAGTACTTTCATAATTAACACTCAGCTCTGAGGCTGGGGTTGTTTAGCTGTTGATATCCCTGTTCTGAATTGTCCTAGGTCACAGAATTCACAGATCAGTAAATGACCTGTACTATCCAAATTTGGATACCCATAAAATTGAAAATACATACAACCTCAAAGCAACCAAAATTAAGGAACTGATCCAGATTAAACACCACTTAAGGAGGAAAAAAAAAAAGTTCTACAGAATCCTTGTGTATTTCCCTTCCGGCTGTAGCTAATAACCTATTTGCATTTTTGGCTGTCTGTATTCTTTTTTGGATTTTCGTTGCTTCCTCAATACATTTTATGATGTTACTGTCCAAATGATGGTAACTGATAAGACCAAGAGGACACATGAATGTGACTGGGAACCTGTGAGATGGACCAGCTTGCAAATTAATTTCTAGTCTCACACAGATGGTTGTACAATCAAAAACATTAAGTAACAACACGTGTCCTGAATGTTAGAGAGAAATTTGCAGATGAAAGCGCCACTTTCTGCCTCTTTCATTAATGAGTTTCAGGCTGTGGATATGATTTCAGCAGCTGAGAGCCTGCTTTTCAATGTGTTTCAAGAAACAGCACAAATCTTACTACATAACCCCTGCCAACTTCTAAAGGGCAAAAGCCAAGCTTAAGGGATGGAATGGGGATCTGCTGCAGAGCAGAAAGGTGCCAGCCTTCTCAACCTAATTTAAGTAGGGGGAAAGTTCCCAATTGTCATTTGTGAAAGACCTACCGAAAAGACACTGTGGATGAAGGCCAGGACTGCAAACCTTCCCTTGCACTGTGAGGCCAAGAGATCAGATAGAAGGGGAAAGATAATCCAGACCTCTCTCAGAGCAAGATATGAAAATTAATACTGGATACTTAAAAACTAGTCTCCTAAAGACAGATCAGTAAACCTAGAGTTGCACTCCTGTTTGCAATCCAGATGGTGGAAACTCTGTGCTAGTATCTAAAAATGGGAGGTGAAGCTGGCTAAAGAGACTGAGCCAATAAAACTACTCAATGAAAAGGAATTGCAATGAAAACAAGCAATTTTTCTCAGCTGGCTGATTCCACGGGGCCGCTGATATACATAAAATATCTAGTCTGACAATTCTTCTTCAAAAAAAGGAAGCAGTTTTTACCAGGAGAAAAGTACCTACATGTAGTAGCAGCTGTAGCAGGGAGCAGGGTTATATTTTTGGAGCAATCCTTTTTCACTGGAGTTGCAGGCATTTCATTTTCTTTTTTCCGCCTTTTGTATGGTACAAAGAGTCGTACAGGGCCACTCTACACAAAAAGATAGAAAACAGACATTAGCAGAGGCATTTATTTGGGCCTATCAGTCTACTCCAGTCTTTCCAGATGCAGCTGAGGGTAGTGTTAAGCAGCAGCTATTCCCATGGAATAGCTTACGGGCAGCAATTGACCGAAAAGTCCTTTAAACTGCAGCGCTAAACCAGTAGAACCCTGTGAAAAAAAGAATTTTAGACTTTACAGTCTTTAAGACATATTGTAATGATTAACACCTGATGGAGTCCCTGCAGTGTCAGCTTTATAGATATTTGACATGGACATCGCTCACCTCAGCAAGCAGAATATTCTATAACTATTTGTGCACTTGTTTGAATACATCATTATAAAAACAGTTATTCTAAGTCCATGCGCTCAGCTCCCTCCAGGCAAAAGGGCACAGATTCTGCCTCTTCCTACTATTATTTTGAGGAGCCCAGCTGAACAAATAATTGTCTGCTGGCCAAGATGGTGGAAGAAAAGACAATAGGAGTGAAGGGAGGATAGGAAGCAATTAGTTTCGGATCTAGACAACAAGTCAGTCATCCAGTTCACAGTAGGAAAGGACCATAAAACAGTATTTCAGGTCAAGCTAAACATTTCTGATTTCAGGACTTTAACCTCATTTTTGAAAAAATAAATATTTTAATATGAAAATATAGATCCAAAACACTACTTTCTTATACAAACTTGTTTTTTTCGAGCTCAAAATACTTGTGGAATTTGCTGTCATATCCCAGAAACGGCATTTTATACAAATGCATTTATAAAAGAAAAAGAAAAAGGGAAAAAACAGCAATCAAAATCACCCAGTTTCACCGACGGGCAGTTATGAACATCGAAGGCTGACTATGCAATAGCACTAGCAGGCTGTTCTTTCCTTATTTTCTTTCTTCATGCAGCGTGGACAAAGTAGGCTGCACCCACAGTACTTGTGAGCGTTTCCAGGATGCTCATGACCTGCTCGTAGATGGCTGGGCAGCTTGACTGATTAATTGTTTTTAAAACTAAGGGATATAAATCTACAACTCACCAGAGTCATGTCATCGCAGCAGGCAGCACAAGTACAAGAGGCAGCATGAGGATTTAAAATCCCATCCTGAAATAGGAAGATTATAAGTTCAGCATTAGAGCAATGGTGATTAGCAATCACCAAAACACTGCGAGCATGACTGTATTCTACTAAAAAATTCAGACAGCTCCCAGTGAGATATATCCGTTCCCCTCTAGGGACTTCATACATTGACAGAAAGCATAGCTCGCCTACATCATAGTGATGGGGTGAGTGGAGGGGAGGAAACTGAAGGAAGAACAAACAATTTTAAAATCAGAAAGCAAGAACGTGTGAATTTTTTGAGACTTTACAAAGCTTTCGCCCAGTAGAAATCAACTGTTAATCTAATGGCGATGCCATATTCTCCGTCAGGCACCTGAACATTGCAGGAAATAAAGGAGCTGAAGTAATACTCTATAATGGTGCAAGTGAAGAATATGTTTGTCAAGCAAACAGAATTAAGATCAGGTTACTGAATTACAGTATCATGGGCAGAGAGCACACTTTCCTATTGTTGCCATATGGAGCTGAAGACTGGACTTCCTCCTGCATAAACTGTAACCTTGTTTCAAGTACAAGTAAATTTTGTAAGATGCTATTTGAAAAAACATCTAGAAAAAATTCCTCTTACATCACTGACTCTCAATCAAATCAAACTGTTGCTTCTGAACTGCCCCACTGTACCATCACACATAACTGCAGAGGCAGCACACGTAGCTTTAGCTGCAGCGCTGGACAGACTCTGCCCAGATGCTACCTGCCCCTTCCTGCACAAAGTAGGAGACAAGCTTAACCTTACGTGAATAAGGCACTGCAATGGCCTCCCAGCATAGCGGATGCTCCTTTTCCAGTCTTTGCTGCTGGCCCGTCCTGCCATGGCTTCAAATTCAGTGGGGCTGTACCAGTTATCCCCTTGCTTAATGCACCTGCCACGACCTCCTGAATTAAGTTAGAAAAAAGAGATTGGTAATAAAGGTTAAGAATTATACTGTCACTTTCCTAAAGAAGTATATACTGACGCTGCTGGATAAAACAGCAGTCAATCCAAAACAACTACTAAATACACCATTCTGCTACTTGTCATCATCTTATGATAACCGTGCCATTTATTATGTTGGCTGTTCCAATCACTAGGCATGTTTAGCAAATTCTAACTTCAGGCCTCACTAATATGTCAATAAGCTAGAAAAACTGATGCATCCATAGGAAGGATGAATGAATAAACACCATGAATTTAATTTCTTAAATTTCTTAATCCTTCTGGTTGTGAAGGAAACTCTCTATGCATGGACCAAATGCCACGCAGTGCACTCACACTCGCTGACAATTTCTGCTACTGTTTCTTCAGCTTTCCCACAGAGATAAAAAGAGAAAAGGAGGGGCTGAGACAACTAACAAGACCCATTAGGAGACAAGCTATCTACTTTCCAATCCAGCAGGGTTTCTATAGACTTTCTATAGAGACATGGATCTATTTTCTAAGAGGTCCACAAAAAGAACTTCAGAAAAGTCAGCCTAATATCAGGAAGACTTACTGCACAGCAGCCTGTATCTTCACAAACTAAAAAAAAAAAAAAGTTACAAAGCCTCCAGAAAAAGAGCAAGGAGGCAAGAGGGCAAAACACAGGAGAACAACAATACCCAAATGGACTAGGCTGTCCTTTTCTTCTTCATGACAGGTTCTTAAAAGTAGCCAGATTAAAAGAAGAGTACACCAAGTGAAGAAGTCGTCATACTTCTTCATGCAAGAAGGTCATTTTTACCTGAGCCGAGCCTGTTTTTATACAGAATCCCACTGATATTCCGACACCTCACTGGGAGCTCATTGTCGTACACAGATGGGTCCCAGTTATACTTGGTTCCAGTTTTTTCTGGGCCGGACGTTAAAGGGGTCGGAGGAGACTGCGGTCCTTTGAGAAAAGAAAAGAAAAGAAAGGTGACAGCAACCAAAAGGCACACTGACTATACATTCAGACTTTCAGCTTGGCTAGGCCAACAGTGTCATGTAGTTAATTCAAGCAGTTAACACCTGTCCACAGCAACACAGGTTACACGGTACACCATAAATCAATTTGGAACAGATGCCCATGAATCTGATCTGCCAGGCTTAGAAGTTTTGATGCAACGTAACGTTACAAGAACAACTGAAAATAAAGCAAACCGCATGTTAGGAAACAGCACATTAACAGCACAGGTTGAAACCTGCACTGGTTTACAGCGGCTGGCTGGATCTTACACTTTCCAGAGGATGCTATGGTAACATGACTTACTGCTAAAGGGTTGTCATGCCATCTTGCGGGCAGAAAGGAAACTGCCAAGCAAAACAAAATCCTAGCAATAAAGACTCGAGCTACAACGACCCTTAAATATCAGCGAAAGGCCTGAACACTACTGTGTTGAAAGAACCTTTAAAAAGAATCCGCATAGAAAACTAGGAGATTGAGATTTTCATTATCGATATTATAATGATCAGCCTGCCTTTGGGGGTGGAGCACATGTAGAAAGGCATGTGACAGCCCAGCAGGAGGCTAAGATTTTTCAAGAAGCATGTTTGCAAGGGTTAGGGCAAAGGAGAAAGTGAAATATATTTCCGTTAGAAAAAACAAAGAGTAAATATTCTTCTCCTGCTCCCAAGAAATTCCTAGAAGCACCACGTCAAGAGGTGACAAATGGTCCTTACAACGCAATTTCGTAATTATGTACGTGACGTTTTCTATGCCCAGCAACACGATCAAGGTGGAGAAAGCTAACCCCTGGGGAGAATGACACTTCAAAAACAGATTGCCTTATACCTGGTGTGAGAGGTGCTGATGGCCCCTTCAACCCTGTGGTTTCTACAATGCTGCCGTCTGTGTGAACCACTATGAGAGTGGCTTTTTCAGTATTCAAGCTGTCCCCAATTTGGAGGGCCGTTCTCCCAGACTATAGAAGAAATAAAGAGTTTTAACTGATAGAATCAAAATACCAATGTATTTTAGTATTCCCCAAAATCTTCTCAAAGGTATCCTAAACCACTAATCAGCATGGCAGTTATTAGGTTAGTTTTTGAGATTTCAGCCAGCCAAACTCAAAGGTTACGTGTTTCAGGTCATTAGCACCATTACAGAATGGGTCTATGGGGGTGGAAAGGTAAACAAAACAGTCAAAGTCATTAAAAAAAACTGTATGTGCAACTACTGATGGTTTTGTGGCTAAATAACTTTATACTGCAATGTCCTTACTATAGCTTGAACACAAACCAAGATTTTCATTTACATTAAGAAAGTTTGCGGGACTTATTCTAAGGCCCTCAAATGAAAGGACAGACTTACCAGCACGTGTCCTGAAATTGAAGCTGCATTTGCCACAGACGTAGTGAAAACATTGTCTGCAGAGGCACCAACATTAGCTACTGTCACTGTGGTGACTTCTGAAAAGATAAAATAAAAAATCAACCTAATATCCTGCTTCATCCAAAGAACCCAATAAAGGCCATAACTGTCAAAAAATATAAGCACATTTCCTTCCTCCTTTCTATTTAATACCAATTCATTTCCTGCCTCCTTTCTATTTAATATCAATTCTGTTTTTCATGACACCCCTCAGACTGTTAGAAAACGCTTTCACTCTTGCCTATTTTATCAAATTTCAGAACTGCGTTGGGCTGAACAGGCTTCACCCTCCAGACCACAACAGTAGTTCTCGACATGCGTTGAACTAAGGGAAAAATGAATGTTCCACCTGTGCTAAAAACAAAAAACAAACAAAACAAAACAAAACAAAAACCCTGTAACGCTGAATAAAGAGAGGTGGCTGACAAAAACATCAGGATAAGAGGAGACTAGGGGCCACATTAATTTCTAGGGTGCATCTGCCTAGATTAAAACCATCCCCAGATGATAGCCAAGCGTGTATATGGTGTTTAGCATAACGTGTGACGCCTTCGCTAAAATCAGGGAGGCAACGGCCGCGGCGCCGCCTCAGGCCGGGGGGAGGGGGGGGCTGCGCATGCGCACTGCCGCCCGCCCTGACCTGCGAAGGCGGGGGCGGCGGGCGC